CGGTAGTGCCCCCGGCCAGAGCAGCCGCCACTTTTGAATGCTTGGCCAGTGCAGGGTCCAGGTGAGATTTCCCTTCACAATCGGCCTCTACAGCCAAGGAGAAGTTCCACACTCACTGAACTCCTCCAGGCTCCTCCCTGCCATTAGGTTTTCTTAAGGAACAAAACCATCCTTTCGATTTTCCAACTCGCTTGACAATAAAACACTGCTGTCACTGCAGAGAGCGGGCCCTGTCTGTAGGTGGGGCTCAGGCCAGAGGTCACAGCGAGCAGCAAGGATGGGCTTCCATGGAAGGACGATGGCTGGCCACCTGCAGGCTGTCCCACTGGGAAAGATTGTGATGGATCCACACCATGGTGGGAACAGACTGGATCTCAGTCCCTGGGAGGCCCCAGCACAGAGCTGGAGGTCTCAGCGGAGAAGCAGGAAGAACTTTGGAACCTGAGCTCAGAATTCAACCCCGGGGCCTCTATTTTAGTTCCAGCAGCCACAGGGCCATTATCAGACATGCTCACACTGAATGGAAAAGAGCAATGCCAGCAGCCACGTCCAGGCTGCCCGGCTGGGACCTGCCCTTCAGCCCGCAGTGCTCTGCTTCACCCAAGGCCTTGTGACGGCTGCTGGAACCACCGCCTCATGACAGCACATTTCGACACCGGCAACTACAGTGGCTTCTTTAGAAAACGGAGTGAAAGTGTGCTTCCACATGACAAAGCCGGAGAGGAAACTTTTGCCCTAACGCAGTACAGTGAAATAACATGAGTTCCAAATGCGGAACAATCCATTAGAGAGCCGCACAGGTGAGGGACTCATCCAGATCCACCTGAGTTCAAATAAAAGCACACCTCCCCATGGCCAGGGGTGGAGGGGAAGCTCTAAAGCAGCGGTTCTCAACCTGTGGGTCGCCAACCCTTTGGGGGTCGAACGACCCTTTCACAGGGGTCGCCTAAGACCATCGGAAAACACATATATAATTACATATTGTTTTTGTGATTAATCACTATGCTTTAATTATGTTCAATTTGTAACAATGAAAATACATCCTGCATATCAGATATTTACATTACGATTCATAACAGTAGCAAAATTACAGTTATGAAGTAGCAAAGAAAATAATTTTATGGTTGGGGGTCACCACAACATGAGGAACTGTATTAAAGGGTCTCGGCATTAGGAAGGTTGAGAACCACTGTTCTAAAGCATCCCTGGAGCCCTGTCTGGTTTGGCTCAGTGGACAGAGCATTGGCCTGCGGACTGAGGGGCCCCAGGTTTGATTCCAGTCAAGGGCATGTACCTTAGTTGCAGGCACCTCCCCAGTAGGGGGTGTGCAAGAGGCAGCTGATCGATGTTTCTCTCTCATGGATGTTTCTAACTCTATCCCTCTCCCTCTCTGTAAAAAATCAATAAAATATATTTTTAAAAATCATTTTAAAAAAATTAAAGCATCCTTGGAGTGAGACCTGTGCAAACTCTGGGTGCAATAGGTCAAGGGGGTTGGGAGGAGGTGGGTACACTCACTCAGCCTCTGTCCAAGACCTGGACCGCTGGGCACAAAACCAGCCAACATCCAGTCACAGTAATAGCAACCGAGGAGCATGATGCTATGAGAAACCACGTGTAAGTAAGAACACAAGGGAGCCCCATGTGCACTGTACACATACATGTAGGTTTATTTTTCTTCCCTTCATCCATAGTATGAAAAAAGGTTGAAAATGGCTAGGAAACCAGCTGATATACAAAGCACCTCTGCAATTATGCTTTTCTTAGAAAAACAACTTATAAAAAAAATAATAAACATTTAAAAAATTCAAGTCCTTTAAGTAGTTTACACTTCTGAATGTTAAAACTCCACGTGTTTCCTAAAATATAGTACAATTTTTTAAAAAATAAACAAAACTCATTAAAGTGACACTGATTTGAATTCCACAGGATCCCGGACAGTTAAAAATACGTTATTCCCTATAAAGTAAATTTGTTCTTCACAGGCAAAACAATAAAGTGTGACTCTCTGCTTAATTCATTGAGATTCATTTTAACGCTCCAGCTAATAACAACAGAAGACTAATGGTAATTTATAGTGTCTTCAAATAAGTTAACAAAACATATCCGAAAGGCTAATCACCACAGGCATGATTCTGGAAGAGCGACAACACCTATACATACAAAACACAAACACTTTACCAATTATCAAGAGCCAATGTGACCCATTATCCCCGAGGGCGCGTCTTCTTCAAGAAGAGATGACCGTTTCCGTGGTCCTGCTGAGGCTGTTTCTGAGCGGGGTTCCCCACCCCCACCCCCACCCCCAAACGATCCCAGGGTGAAAGTCAAGACAGACAGTGCTTGGCCTGGTGATTTTGACAGCAACTCTGACAATGGATCCAGTCGAACTTGCCCGGTAAGGTGAGGAGATCACCTGTGAGCGAGCGTATCAACCCTGTGATGGGAGAGGATGACATTCCTTTCTAATCACTACAGGACCAGGCAACATGACTGGTTTGACGGTGTAACGGGCCACTAACCAGAGAGGTTAGTAAGGTGAGATACAGAAATGAAATCCCACATGAAAAGATAGATTGTACCCAGCGGCACGTGTGTCTGTGTGGAGGCTGAAAGATTGGGAACCTCTCTTCGTTATTAATGTCAACCCGATAAAAGCTAAACCAAATCGGTGCACGTTTAAGTGCACCACTATTTAATTGCTAAAAGTGTTTCAAGCACTTGGTAAGAATTTCAGAGTCCACACTACTCCAAAAAAGAATATTACCACATTTCTCACCTGCCTGAGTTGAGTTATATTAAGCACCCTTTGTAATGATATCCGTTTGGGTTGGGGAGCTGGTAGGATGGTGTGAGCAGGAGGTGCCAAAAAAGAAAAAAAAAAATATTGATATTATAAAGGTGTTTTCTTCCTCAAGTTTTCCAAAATTTTACATTCTCTTTGTTCCTGGATTAGTGTGAGCTCCAGAGCGGCTGGCTGTGGAGAAGTTGTTCCAGAGACTAAGTTCAAGGTCTCATTAAGTCAATACCCAATGACCAGGTGAAATGGTGCTTTGCAGATAAAAAGTTCCTGAGGCTTCCTTTTCCGGTCCATCTTCCAAATCTCATGTTGCCTATAAGAAACCTGACAAAACAAAGAATTAAACTCAGAGATTCATTAATGGAAAAAATGGGGCAAGTGTTGAAATAAAATCACTTTTCTATTTAAAAAAAGAAAAGAAAAAGAAACTTGGGGAAAAAAGGAATTCCTGGGAGTTGTTAGACATGAGCAGAGCAAGGATGATGGTCTAGGTACAGAAACTCACCAGGCCTATGGATGGGGACAGTGGATGGGGAGTGAGGGAGGAGGGTGGGGTGGGAACTGGGTGGAGGGGAGTTATGGGGGGAAAAAAGAGGAACAAATGTAATAATCTGAACAATAAAGATTTAATTAATAAAAAAAAAAGAAGAAGAAAAAAAAAAAAAGAAACTCACCAGGGCAGGAAACCCCCGATGCCTAGCAAGGGGCAAAGCTGGGAAAATAAGAACTTCCCCCCAGGGTAACCCATCCTCCCCTCGCATGTCACTGGTCATGCGGTTTGGACCCCCGACTTTTCATCACTGGTCAAGCGGTGTAGACCCCTGACCTTTCCTCCCTAGAGATAACATCTAGGCCTCAGTTGTATTTCAGCTCCAGGCCCAGAACAGCAGCAAAACCAGACAAGAGGCACCATGGCTGCCACAGGACCAGCTGCATTGACTAAAAGCCCTCTGCCCTGTACGGACCAATCGCCTGAAAGAGGGGAGACCGCCACCCTGAAAGAGCACACCTGAAAAGCTGCTGAAGATTCTATGAAGACCCTCCCCTGAGGCCTCCCCTAAGATTCCCACCTGCAAAACAGAGATAAATGTGCTCAGGACAAGGGCCCCAGTGCACGGTCTCCCCGCAAGGAGCAGGCCCATGCCACTCCCTCCTCCTCTCCCTCTCCCACATGTAGGTGCCCCCCATCCTCTAAAGGACCCCAGGAGACCTGCAACCAGGGGAGCAATGGGCAGTGGCAGCTCGTCCTGGGCTCACCCCCTGCACCTGCCTCCAAGGCCCCCTTTTCTCTGACTTCCCAGAGAGCCAAGGCAGCCCAGCCAGGCTCTCCTGCTGCTGCTTCTGCGCCCTTCCTTGTGTCACTGTCCTGAGTATATTTATGCTGCCGTCACCGATCCAATACCCCCTGGGTTCGGTGCTGTGCAGCTCTTCGCTTTGGATATCCCCCCCTCTTTTCCGTAAATAAACTCCATTTTCTGTAATCACCGTCTGAGATGGCTATTTAGCCTGCCCACCCATCACTGACTTGAGCCTTTCATTGTTGCGTTTCCCGAGCTTAAGAGAAGCCACTGCAATGTAAAGGTGATAAGACACTAAAACATCCTGATAAAGATATAAAACTCAGCCAATTAACCAGGTATTCTGGCTTCAGGAGGGTATAAAATATTGGCAAATTAAGGGGTGGGGGTTAGCAGACAGATTTTTTTTTCCTATTTAATGAGGAGATTGGGACAGTAAGTGTTGATGATCCCTGTACTGCCAAAAAATGTCACAAGCCCTTTTGTATTTCTAATGTATCAGCAAATCAGGTGTCAGTGAGGCCAGGAGCCGATAAAAACAAACAACACAAGATAACAACTTGCTATAAAGACTTTGAGATGGATGTTCTGAGCCATCTGGTTATCACAGTCGCGTGCGTGGCCACTGCTGTCCACAGCGCCAACATGCAAATGAGCAGATTTCCACACGTGGGCCTCAGTAATCCACAGAATTTCAACATAGCCAAGAACAAGAATGAAAACCTCGACAACGAAACTAGCCATTCTGTTTGGGTGAGGCTTCGGCACCCAACGTCTCCTGGGGGAGTTCAGAAACCTTGCCCACCACCCCTGAAAGAATCCCGAGGGATCACTGAGTGCTTACAGACTTTCAGGGCGAGTATACACTTTGCATCCTTTGTGGAATAAAAATTTAACTAGCATTCCAAATAAAAGCCTCTCTCCGACTTATTGAGGTTTCTGAGAAGTAACACTGCATTTGTTAACTATGGCAACAATATAGAATAACCATCGTTTTGAATTGGTTTGATCTTGGATATAACGAAATCAAAACCACAAAAAAAAAGAAGTGCTTAAAAACAAAGGAAGGAACCCTGTGGTTTTCTGGATTGAGACCAGGAACAACTCCCTTTGGCCTCTCCCACTCACCTTCCCTTCTTTGCCAACTGAGGTTCACTAGTGCCACCCAGTGGACTCCTGGAGCACTGCTTCAGCGCCTGGGAAGGCCCAGCAGGCACCAGTAGTCTCAAGTACCATAATGACATTCTTATCTATTCTTTACAGAGCCTTACCACCTGCCTGAAGCTTTCAATACGTTTTTTATTGATTTCAGAAAGAAAGGGAGAGGGAAAGAGAGAGAGAGAGAAAGATCAATGATGAGAAAGAATCATTGATCGGCTGCCTCCTGCACGCCCCACACTGGGGATCGAGCCCGAAACCTCCATGTGGCCCGACTGGGAATTGAACTGTGACCTAGTGGTTCGTAGGTCGACACTCAACCACTGAGCCACACCGGCCAGCTGCCTGCAGCTTTACATGCATGCAGGACCTCTTTTCGTCCTCACAACTGACCAGGACTTAGAAGTTTTTGCATCCATCCGACAGATGGGGACAAAGAGGCTTGAAGTTAGGCCACGAATTTGCGCTCTCCAGTTTGCAGCCAGTATGGCAAAGGGTGCACTGGAGGAGCTGGTGCGACTTCAGGGAGAGCATGTGCGGGAACTGAAACAGGAGCAGATCGAGGAGGAGTTGGCAAAACTACTGAAAATGAAGGCACAGCCACACAGCGGGGGCCTGAGGAAGGGAAGCACAAGTTTGTGCTCAAAATCCCCAACGGCGCAAGAGACTACAATCCCCGGAGATGGCAGTTCGGGAGAAGGTGTTTGATGTAATCATCAGCTGCTTCAAGCGCCAAGGTGCACAAGTCATTGCTACACCTGTGTTTGAACTAAAGCAAACACTGACTGCAAAGTATGGGTAAGACTCTAAAGCAGTGGTCCTCAACCTTGGCTGCACATTGGAATCACCTGGGAATCTTTTTAAAATCCTGGTTTCTGGGCCTCATCCTCCAGAAAATGTTTGTTACTAATGTTGTGGCCCCCGCCCCATAACAAAGAAACAGAATTTCTGAAGGATGAGGCCCAGACATCAGGATTTTAAAAAGATTCCCAGGTGATTCCAATGTGCAGCCAAGGTTGAGGACCACTGCTCTAAAGCTTATTCATGACCTGAAGGGCCAGGGTGGGGAGCGGCTGTCCCTTCGCTATGACCTCACTGTTCCTTTTGCTCAATAATTGGCAATGAATAAACTGACCAACAATCAGCGCTACCACACAGCACAAGTAAATCGGCGGGATAACCCAGCCATGACCGGGGGCCGAGATCGGGAATTCTACCAGTGTGACTTTGACATTGCCGGGCTATGTGATCCCAGGACCGCTGATGCAGAGTGCCTGAAGATCATGTGTCAGATCCTGAAGTCACAGACAGGTGACTTCCTGGTCAAGGTGAACCATGGGCGCATCCCAGATGGGATGTCTGCGATCTGGGGTTCCTGGCAGCCAGTTCCGCACCATCTGCTCGTCAGTGGACAAACTGGACAAGGTGTCCTGGGAGGAAGTAAAGAACGAGATGGTGGGAGAGAAGGGCTTCGCACCCGGGTGGCTGACCGCATTGGGGACTATGGCCAGCAGCAGGGTCGGGTATCCCTGGTGGAACAGCTGCTCCAGGATCCTCAACTTCCTCAAAACAAGCAGGCCTTAGAGCAGTGGTTCTCAACCTTCTGACCCTTTAAATACAGTTCCTCATGTTGTGACCCAACCATAAAATTTTCGTTGCTACTTCATAACTGTAATGTTGCTAGTGTTATGAATCGTAATGTAAATATCTGATATGCAGGATGGTCTTAGGCGACCCCTGTGAAAGGGTCGTTCGACCGCTAAAGGGGTCTCGACCCACAGGTTGAGAACCGCTGCCTTGGAGGGCCTGGGAGACCTGAAGCTGCTATTTAAGTGCTTGACCCTGTTTGGCATTGCTGACAAGATCTCCTTCAACCTGAGCCTTGCCCGAGGGCTGGACTCCTATACTGGGATGGTCTATGAGGCGGTGCTGCTACAGACTGCAGCCCAGGCAGGGGACGAGCCCCTGGTGTGGGCAGTGTGGCTGCTGGAGGGCGCTCTGATGGGCCTGTTTGACCCTAAAGAGTGCAGGGTGCCATGTGTGGGGCTCAGCATTGGTGTGGAGCGGATCTTCTCCATCGTGAAGCAGAGGCTTAGAGGTGTTGAAGGAGAAGGAATGGACCACAGAGACACAGGTGCTGTAGCATCCGCACAGACGTTGCTGGAGGAGAGACTGAAGCTCGTCTCAGAGCTGTGGGATGTGGGATCAAGGCTGAGCTGCTTTACAAGAAAAAACCCAAAGTTACTGAACCAGCTGCGGTACTGTAAGGAGGCAGGCATCCCATCATCAGTGAGCAGGAGCTCGGGATGGGGTCATCAAGCTCCGTTCAATGGCCAGCAGAGAAGAGGTGGATGTCCGAAGAGAAGACCTTGTGAAGGAAATCAAAAAGAGAACGAGCCAGCACCTTTGCACCTGCTGAATTGAGCAAACTATGAGAGTTAAGTGGGCGGGCACCATTGAAGGCTAAGACAAAACTCTGCCTATGTCCTCCAACCTCTTCGCACTTCCAGTGGAAAACCTGAAGAGCAGTCAAAACCGAGACTTTGTGATGATTTTATTGATAATCACAGGTAATTTTACTGTGCCATTTTCCGTAGGAAGCCCCGGGGGCTCCTAAGCTACAGGGACCAGGCCTGAGATGGCCTCCTCTGCAGGGTGCTATACCAGCAGGGACTGCTCCCCATAACCAGTCACCAAAGGTGCAACAAAATATCTCAACCACTAAAAAAAAAAAGCCCTAGCCAGTTTGGCTCCGTAGATAGAGCATCGGCCTGCACACTGAAGGGTCCCCAGTTCGATTCCGGTCAAAGGCACACGCCCCGGTTATGGGCTCAATCCCCAGTAGGAGGCAGGAGGCAGCCGATCAATGATTCTCTCTCATCACTGATATTCCTATCTCTCTTTCCCTCTCCCTTCCTCTCTGAAATAAAAAATACATGTATTAAAAAAAAAAAAAAAGAATTTGCTTAGTCACAAAGCTAGCCAGCACCTGAGCTGGGATTGAACCCCTTCCTCTGACTCCATGCACATAACATCATTACTTAGGCTATGGCAGGCCACCAGCTCACTGCTGCATTTGCATAGTAATCTGAACCCAAGCTTACAAATAAACAAGCCTCACATTTTACAGTGGAAATTTGCTATTCACAAAGACACAGCTTGACTCCCAGCCAATGACTTCAGACCATTTCCTGCTCACCTTCCAGCACATCCTGGACTTCAGCTGAGACGTTTTTCAAGCAGTTATATAAGTTCTGGACTGTGGCGTTGCTTAGCTCCTTGTCTTGCCACTTCTTCAGCATCCGAAACTTACAAATTGTCACATTTTCTTCCTTCTTCCGGATATCGTCAATATCGCTGATGTCCAACTCCAGGTTGACAATGCCAATTTCTCTCCACTCCTTCCCCAACTTCCCAGCAAGAGTAATCAACTGATCGTCTGTTAACAGGGTCTTGGCTCCATCTAAAAGCAGATGAGGAATTCAGTAGTTCCTCTCAACACTTAATCATTGGTAACTACTTACAATGAAAATGTATTCTCCTCCTATTAGAAAAGAGACTAGCCCAAGCCGCTTTGGCTCAGTGGATAGAGACTTGGCCTGCGGACCGAAGGGTCCCGGGTTCGATTCCAGTCAGGGGCACGTACCTCGGTTGCAGGCTCCTCCCTGGCCCAGGCCCTGGTCAGGGCGCATGCAGGAGGCAACCAATCGATGTGTTTCTCTCACATCGATATTTCTCCCTGTCTTTCCCTCTCTCTAAAAATCAATGGAAAAATATCCTCAGGTGAGGATTAAAAAAAAAAAAAAGGAGACTATATTTGTAGTAATTGTAACTGCTTGTAAAATATATTTAAATGCCAAAAAATCCTTGCTATCTAAAATATCTTAAGTAAAGGGAACTCTTTTATATAAAAATATTAAACTGGGGTATAATGTTCATAATTACAAATGTGACTTTCATAAAACAGCACAAATCAGGTTGGAATAAAAAAATTCAGATATCAAAAAGAACTTATGTGGCTCAAAAAGAAAAATATACAGCTTTGCCCTTGCCCACCTCTGTATCTCATATAAATGCTCGCAAGATGTCTGCATTGAAGTCTCTATTTCGCCATCTCCTGGCGCTAGGGGAATAGCACGTTCCATAGGAAAGTCATGGAATGGTATTTGTAATAGCTGTTGATCTCCGAGAAGCAGTGTTATAATCTTGGAAAGGCATATATTGCCAATGCAAACCACTGACCCCATAAAAAATATTAGCACTATCATTAAACTAGATTTGCAACGATCACTTTGTGCTATGATGCAGCCAAGCTCACAGGTTGTGGAGTTCCGGGTAAGGATCCTCAAGGCATGACAAATACTGGAGGATATGAGAGGGAGTAAGAGGTAAGAAGAATTCCTGCCCCTCCTCCAGGACTGCAACACCTCTGCTCTAAAGACAACAATTTATTAATGTGGATCTAACATTTGTTCTTGGACCCTTTTCCACTTGGGCTTCCTCTCTCTAACTTTCTAGACCAGAGGTTCTCAACCTGTGGGTCGAGACCCCTTTGGGGGTCGAACGACCCTTTCACAGGGGTCGCCTAAGACCATCGGAAAACACATATATAATTACATATTGTTTTTGTGATTAATCACTATGCTTTAATTATGTTCAATTTGTAACAATGAAAATACATCCTGCATATCAGATATTTATATTACGATTCATAACAGTAGCAAAATTACAGTTATGAAGGAGCAACGAAAATAATTTTATGGTTGGGGGTCACCACAACATGAGGAACTGTATTAAAGGGTCGCGGCATTAGGAAGGTTGAGAACCACTGTTCTAGTCTGAAGAATGGGTTCTTAAAGAAGGCCTTCGCCCTCTGGTGGTTTCCTGATACATGGCCGACGGCTCCTAGCTCTCCAGACTCCTGACGATAAAAACGACTAAAAGGGAACCTATTTAGATGAAAGTTCTCAAGATCATCCTAAAACTCATTGTATCAGACTCTGAGCCTAAATTTTAACAAGATCTCAAAATAATTCTGTTCGGGCTGAGGGCTGATCATATTTTTAAAAGCAACACAGTGATATACTGAGTCTGAAACTACCAGGCTAGTGACTAGACATCTCAAAGAATATTATTGAGGGAATACCTAAACAAACAAACAAAAAATCTTTATTTATTTAGATCCTACGCTGTCAACTCCAAAACAGTTGGAAATCCTTAATCTTTCTGGGTGAATTTGATCGTTTTGATTCTATTTCTAGCTACTTGTTATTGGAACTCATTTTATTTTATTTATTTATTAATATTTTTAAAATATATTTTTTATTGATTTCAGAGAGGAAAGAAGAGGGAGATAGAAACATCGATGATGAGAGAAAATCACTGATCTGCTGCCTCCTGCACAACCCCTACTGGGGACCAAGCCCATAACCTGGGCAAGGTTCATAGGTCGACACTCAACCAGTGAGCCACGCCACCTGGGCTCATTTTAAATCGCCAAATAATTGCATAAAACAGAAAAACTTGCCCAGCCAGCATGGCTCAGTGGTTGAGTGTTGACCCATAAACCAAGAGTATACCAGTTTGATTCCTGGTCAGGGCACATGCCTGGGTTGCGGGCTCGATTCCCCGTAGGGGGCGTGCAGTAGGCAGTCCACTGATGTTTGTCTCTCATCGATGTTTCTATCTCTCTCTATCCCTCTCTCTTCCTCTCTCTCTACAATCAATAAAAACATATTTTTTAAAGAAGAAAAACTTGTCCTATAAATCAAATAAAAACTATGTCCCACTCAGTTATAAGATGAATAATTTCTGAGGATCTAATGTACAGCATGGTGACTATAGCTAATAATACCGTATCATACTATACACTTAAAATTTGCTAAGAGAGTAAATCTTAAGTGTTCTCGCCACTAAAATAAAAAGCAACTGTGAGGTGATGAATGTGTTAACTTGATTGATAAATATTTCATCCTGTACATGTATACCAAATCATCATGTTGTACACTGTAGTATATACAATTTTATCTGTCAAATATCCCTCAATAGAACTGGAAAAAATTGTATCGCAATGTAGCTAGGTCTTAAAAATAATTCCAGAGCCTCACTTATTTTGGTGTTGACTTGATAAAAATAACGAACATCTCTGTAGCAATATACAGTAAAACCACACATGTCATCCTCACAGTCTCCTGCTCTAGAAAGTGAGATAGATATCTTATTTCATTTTATAAAGTTTGTCTGCTTTTATAGATTCATACCTTCTTACAATAACAGTAAAAGAAAAGGTACTTTGGTGAAAGGGTTAATTTGGAGACCTATGTGAGGACCCTAAATGCTTGAGATCTTGTCTCATATAATTTGGGTCTGGGCTTTTAAAATTAGATTTGTGAATTCTTGTTGGACTTGCATTTTGAACTACAAATTCCATCTTCTGGCTCCTTAGAGTATTATTAAATGTTTTAAATCTCCACTGTATTTTCACAACTTTTGAGCCGTGGTCTCTGCCATTTAATTGAAAGAAAATAAGTTGAGACCTGCCTCTATTGACTGAACTGGAGGTGCTTCACCCCGAAATAGCTAAAAAACAGTGAAGCCAATGAACGCACACATGGACATTCACAATTCCATTCATTCAAGCAAGGCTCACTGTCTCCTCCACGAAGGCTCCATGCACAGTGCTGTGGGAAATGTAAAGATGGGTAGGTATGGCCCTACCTTCAAGGACTGCAAGGAACCCCCTTACCTCACAGTGCTGCTGAGTGAAGGGGAAAAGTGGGGAATCAAATGGGAAAATAGGCCGGGGCAGGCCACGGAGGACCCTTATCCGGGCCCGAGGCGCTGGGACACAGGCGCCCACAACCGGATGTGGCGCTAGGAACACCGACCCAAGAGCAGGTGTGATGGATGCACATCGACGGGAGAGCCCAGGGGAATAAGTGATGGCCACGGAGGACAATGTTACAAACCTGAAGTGTCAACCTGCTTCATTCTTTTAGCACTGACCTCCTCTTCAGGCAGAGTGTTACTTACTTTACGTCGCCTTTTACCTTAAAAAAAAAAAAAGAATCAACAAGTTTGCTTTTCATTATGTTTATTACCTTCAATCTGTGTGGGTTTTTTTTTAAAAAAAGCATCATCATTCAGGTAGAAACCAATTGAAAATGGATTCCAAGATTGTTCAGATGGTTAACAGAGTCACAGAGCACTTAACAGATCCATAATGCAACCGCCTCGGCGCAGCAGAGCACAGATCCTAGCGGATGGGAGGAACCCAAGACTGCGCACAACTCGCTTAGTGTCCAGTCACCAGCACTTACCACTTGTGCTGCTTTTTGAAACGTTCCGACTCTGATCATGTTGAACCCAGTCACCTGTTAAAGCACGGAAAGCATCACTTAGAAAAACTGGTATGAAATCAGAATTCAAGAAATCAACTTGTGAAAGTGTATGGAGCTCTAGGGTCTTGGCAACCTCTCTGAAGTTGGCATATGAGTTTGGGGTTTCACTTGGTATCTGCACAAATGCGCTGGGCTTGAATTTTGGAGATAAATGATGAGCCGGAGAGGATGTTAAAGGGGAGGGGGGGCTGTCACAGGGCTTCCCAGCCCCAAGAATCTGAACAGGGGGACACAGGGGCAGTGGGGTCCCCCAGCAGAGCTGTAATCGCACAGAGCGGGAGCTATCCATTGAAGACCAAAGAGGCAGAGTCAGCCAATGAGACACACAGTCAGCCAAAATGCAGAGCTACATCCAGGTCGTGTCACAACACCCCTAAAATATCTGAGATCCAAACCTCAAGAAAACAACACCTCCACTAGCCAACTCCCCCCCCCCGCCCCCCACCCTCTGAAGTCTCCGCAGACACGCTGAGCCACCCACTGACCCCCAGGATCTGGATGTGGGTGCCTGAGAACCAGGGCCGCACTTCTGTCCCAGGAGCGGCGCCTTTCCCTCCATCAGATCTTTAAATGTTATGCTGACGGGACAGACAATTACTCTATTTGCTTTCCCACCCCCACCACCCACAAACCAGTTTTCCTTTAGGATATAAAACACTTACATTCTCTCAGTTTCGCTTTCCATACAATCTCGTCGGAATCCGTCTCAACCAACAGTAATTTAAACTCCATTGGCTGCTCCAAATAAACTTCGATATAACTTTTCAGTTTTAAAAGGGAACCATCCACAAATTCAATTTCCTTTAAAAAAAAAAAAGTGATTTTTTTAATAGAAAAGATGTATTCACTCACTGATGACATCATTAGCAAATGATGACAATTATTAGGTAGGTTAATGCTTACTTGAATGCTCACCGACACCTTGGCCCTGGAAAATCCCATTCCTGAATCACACACCCTCTTATTCTCTTGCTTCTCGGCCCCCCTTACTCCAACTTCCTTTTCTGCTTCATTTTCCTAAAGCTTAACTTTTCAGCCCTTTCCTGATTTCCTGTTTCCTGTTCCCAAACTAGAACGTGTGCTCACCCACCAGCCACCCTTTCGTCAGTGCGTTTGAACTTCCTCACCCTCTTTGGCTTAGATCATGCCACACAATCTGGATGGAACAGATTCAACAACATGTACAGACTATGCTGCGTGTTTTACCCACACTCCCTCACTGAACACCTTCCCCCACCAAATCCTCTTTTTGCTATTTTACGGGTAAAGAATCTCAGAGAAGCAAATTAAACTTGCCCAACTTCACATGTAGGAAGTGGTAGAATTTAACGTGCACCCACACCTTCTGACGTCAAAGTGTGCGCTCTTAACCGCGACACAGCCGCCTCCTGCCTTACACCTCCGCTGTTCCTCTCCAGGCTGCCTAGCGAGCCTGGAGGGAGAAATGCACTTTTTAAAAAGTACAACCCGTGCCTTGTTTTATTGCATTTCACTGATGTTACGTTCTTTACAAGCTGAAGGTTTGTGGCAACCCTACTGGCGCCATTTTCCCAAAAGCACTTGCTCACTTCATGTCTCTGTGTCACATTTTGGAAATTCTCACAGTTCAGACTCCTTCATTATTATTATACTAGAGGCCCGGTGCACAAAATTTGTGCGGGGGGGGGGGGGGGGATCCTTCAGCCCGGCCTGCACCCTCTCCAATCAGGGACCCCTTGGGGGATGTCCGACTGCCAGTTTAGGCCTGATCCCTGTGGGACCGCTGGCTCCTAACCACTTGCCCCCCTGCTGGCCGGCCTGGTTGCCCCCCAACTGCCTCCCTGCCGACCTGGGCACCCCCCAACTGCTCCCCTGGCGGGCTGCCTGGTCATCCCCCAACTGCTCCCTGCCGGGCTGGCTGCCCCCCAACTGCCCCCCTGGCGGGCTGGTCACCCCCAACTATCCCCCTGCTGGCTAGTTACACCCCTAACTGCCCCCCGGCCAGCCTGGTCACCCCTAACTGTCCGGAAAGAAGTTAGACGTCTGGAAGATGTCCGGTCATCCAGTCTAATTAGCATATCACCCTTTTATTAGTATAGATTTGCAATGATGAACTGTGATCATGATCTTTGATGTTAGTATTATAATTGTTTTGGGACATCACGAATTTAATCGATAAGTATGTATGTGTTCTGACTGCTCCAACATCTGGCCATTTCCCTACTTTTCTCCCTCTCCTCAGTCCTCCTTATTCCCTGAGACACAACCATATTGAAAATAGGCCAATTAATAACCTGACAGTGGCCTCTAAATGTTCAAATGAAAGGAAGAATCGTGCATCTCTCACTTTAAACCAAAAGCTCAAAATCTTAGTGAGGAAGGCATGTTGAAAGCCAACACAAGCCAAAAACAAGGTCTCTTGCACCAAACAGTCAAGTTGTGACTGCAAAGGAAAAGTTTTAAAAAACTAAGCCCTAGCTGGTTTGGCTCAGTGGATAGAGCGTTGGCCTGTAGACTGAAGGATCCCAGATTCGATTCCAGTCAAGGGCATATGCTTGGGTTGCGGGCTCAACCCCCAGTAGGGAACATGCAGGAAGCAGCCGATCGATGATTCTATCACTGATGTTTCTATCTCTCTCTCCCTCTCCCTTCCTCTCTGAAATCAATAAAAATATACATTAAAAAAAAAAAAAAACTAAGACAACAGGCACCCCAACTTTCAGCAACCTCCACCCTGACCATTCAGCAGCCATCAACACTGAGACAAGACCCTCCACCAGCAAAAACATTTTGTCTCGCTGACGGTTAGCATTTTTTAAGTAAGAAAGTGTTTTTAAATTAAGTATGTACATTATTTATTTTTTTATTTTTATTGATTTCAGAGAGGAAGGGAGAGGAAAAGAGAGATAGAAACATCAATGATGAGAGAATCATTGATTGGCTGCTTCCTGCATGCCCCGCCCTGGGGATCGAGCCTGCAACCCTGGCATGTGCCCTTGACCAGGAATCAAACCATGACCTCTTGGTTCATAACTCAATGCTAAACCACTGAGCCACGCCAGCCGGGCTGTACATTGGTTTTTTTAGACATAATACTACTGCACATTTAATACTGATTATAATATAACTTTTATATGCACTGGGAAACCAAAACACTTGTGACTCACTTTATTGCCAGATTCACCTTATTGTGGTGAATCTAAAACACAACCCACAGTATCTTGTTGTCTTTGTATCACTAAATCACCCGGGGCCTTGCCATCATACACCAATGGCTTTAACCAGGCCCTCTCCCTTTCCATTCCAAATCACTAGCTTTATCCTCACAATCTTCAAAGGGTCACCAGGGCCCATAAAGTGAAGGTAATGCCCTTCCTCGGCCCCACTCTTCCCAAAGCCCCGTGTGTTCCCCTCCCTGGAACGACCCCCATGCCGAGCCCTGCTGCACATCCCATCACCTCACTTAGGCACTGCGTTCCTTCCCCCAGTGACTCCCTCCCCCTCCAAACCCAAACCAAATGTCACCACGTGCGGACCTTCCTGAAAACCCACTGCACTTTGCACCCATCTCGATGATAATATCGCATTATGTGAAAATTACTTCTTTACGGAAATGCAGCATTTCTCCCTCTACGCGGGTGTCTTTGGAGGGAAAAGCTCATGACTTACTGGTTTTTTTAATTCTTAGCTCTTATATCCCTGGCCTACTTGGAATAGTCACTTCTCACAAAAGTCAGTTAAAGAAATCATGAATGGTATAAAACGAGTAAGAACACCTTAAGATTTACACAGAGTTTTTCAAATTTCAGAGCGCCCCCCGAACCACTTATACCCTTTGAGCAATCCTGGGAGGTTATCCCCATTTTTAAATGCCCGAAATTTGGTTAAGAGAGCACACACAGCTCGTGACAGAACTAGACTATTGAAAGTCCCCAGCCACCACCATCTTTATAAGAAAAACCTTGTGGGGGCACGGCGGTCTCTTTCTGGGCAGATCCATGCACTCACTATGCACGATTCCCTCTCTGAGTGGCTGTTAACCTTGGCAGCACATCACAGTCACCGTGGGAGGGTTAACAAGCCCGATGCCCAGGCCATTCCCAGAGCAGTAAGTCACTATCTCGGGAGGCCACAGGCTTCTCTAAAGCTCCTCGGGGATTCCATGAGGCAGCAAAGGCCACGAGTCACTGTCCTAAGCAAACCCTTCAAATTGAATTGCACCTCCCAGACAAGGCTGCAGTCGGCTTCCTGTCATTGTCTTGAGGTACCGTCTGCTAGGGCTTGATCAGAATCGGTGATACAACCGTGGCCTTAGGAGCCAAGGGCAGATGGGGCGCGGGGCCAGGCTTTCCTGCTCCCAGGTGTGCGATTTGATCACATGCCTGCTCTGCACATTAGTTTCCACAGCTGCACTGTCGTAAGGCTCAAATGACATGGGTGCAAAGAGACCCTGGGAATTAAATAAGACCGTCTGTGTTCAAAAGTTACGGAAAACTGATAACCTGATTGCTCCAAAGAGCATGAGGCTCCTGATAATAAAATAATGCAACACATATCATTACGATTAGCTCTCTCTTGATTCATATTTTAATATAATAAAATCAAAACATGTTTTTGACTTTTTATATACTATAAGAGAAACAGAGAGAGGTGTTCAAAAGAAATTTCTACACCGACGGCTAGGCTAGATAAGCTACGGCACACATTCAGAGCACATAATGAAAATAAGTTTTAAGAATAACTCAGTCATTTACGAGAAACTGAAATCGCTTACAAATGGCATGGTGTGTACAGCGAAGAGCTTAAATCAAAATGGCAATATGTTCCCATAACTATTTTTCAAATGTCTTCCAGTAAGAAAAGCCCAAACTCCCTTGTTAGCAATTCCTTCCCATTAACCTTAAATGCTCTGTAACTTACAATAAAAGTTGAGTTTTTCATTCCGTTGATGCTAACACTGAAGAATTTAATAAAACATTCAGGAAAATTTAAAACCTTTTAAAAGGGAAAGTGATCAGCTAATCTATCTTTGCAATGGTTGCAGACTAATCCTTAAATTGAAAGCATCTTTGGGCCCTAGCTGGTTTAGCTCAGTGGATAGAGCATTGGTCTACAGACCAAAGGATCCCGGGTTTGACTCCAGTCAAAGGCACATACCTCGGTTATAGGATCCTCCCCGGACCGGGCCCTGGTCAGGCCTCGTGCAGAAGGCAACCAATTGATGTGTTCCTCTCACATTAATATTTCTCCCTGTCTTACCCTCTCTCTAAAAATCAATGGAAAAATATCCTCAGGTGAGGATTAAAAAAAAAAAAGCATCTTTGGAATAAACTACAAGATTAGCAAGACAACTGTTTTCTTATAAGTGGGAAATAAAAAATGAGAACAAAATGGATGCCAGTGAAACCTTCAAAATACCATAGCTAAGAAATATCCATCCATCCCTGCTATTACTCCAAGTAGGTGTGTAAAATATATACCTCAGGGGTGATGTCGGCTTCTGGTTCACTGACCAGTCTGTACTTCTTCCCATGCTCCAATAACTTCAGGCACACAGGAGGCTTGTCGATTTTCATGAATTTCTTAGAGGAGTGCTTGACAGCCTTGGCAATATCCTAAAGATGGAGATAGGTTTTGGCTGTGAAATGCACCAGCAACAACTCTACGAGCTGTAAGAGACCTAGCCGTGCAGGGCAAGGCTGCAGGTTCTTCATTTCCTCCTCCCAAGTGCTGGCCCGAGTGACCTCCTCGGTGCTCGCAAAAAAAATGCTGAAGCTCAGGCGCCCTCAGTCTGCACCGCGGGCTCCTAGGTCTCCAAACATCCTCTGTGCCCGACAGCTAAAAGCAGCACAGGCAGCCTGCGGGGCACCAGCAACTTGCTTCTGGAGAATCTGACAAACTGAGGTTAGCACCAGCATATACATGTGTGCTCGTTACATGCCCACCATGGGGATGGAAAGCAACTGTTTTAGGACTCGGTTCCAGTTTACTCAGAGCTGTTTCTACCCAGCACTTCGTTTCCAGCGGATTGTCACAACTACCCCCCTGGAGGGGACACTGATTTTGTACATATTGCTCGAATGACCCAAAGAGGTTAAAGCAACCTTTGGCCCAGGCTCCCCTGATAAAGCAGCTGTGCAGCTGACGTGAAATGTGGGTTTCCTGTAGGCGAAGGTCAAGGAAGTCTTTTCCTACATAGGAAAAAAAATCCCGAGAAGAAGAATGCAAACATAAAACATCGCCAGAGAGGGCTTCCTGCCTTCGCTGTGCGTGCTCCCTATTGTTCCAGTGGCTCCTCCTCTCCGTTTGCTGACAGGACAGCTTCTTACCCAGCTTCCCAGCAAGCACGGAAAATGCCCTTTTAATGAACTGAATTTACTTTTAAAATACAAAGTTCTTGACTTTGGGTGGTTAGCACATTGCACTAAACAGATCTTGTATCATAGAAATGTACACTTGAAACCTACATGATCCTATTAACCAATGTCACCCCCAGTACATTTATTTTTTTTAAAAAGCTGCCCAGCTCAGCCGGGTGTGGCTAAGCAGTTGAGTGTCGACCCAGGAACCAAGAGATCACCGGTTCAGTTCCCAGTCAAGGCATATGGCCAGATTGTCAATGATTCTCGATCATCAATGATTCTCTCTCATCATTGATGTTTTTTTCTCTCTCTCCCTCTCCCTTCCTCTCTGAAATCAATAAAAACTTTTTTTTTTTTTAAAGCTGCCCAGAAATCAACCAACCCACCTTGGGTTTGCTTTAAAAACGGAACCTTTATTATTTTGAACAAAAAAATTTTTAATACAAACTTCATAAAATAATAGTATTTATTCCAAAGCTATGCTAATTATACTTTAGATGGGATTGTTTTTATACCATTTTGAAAACTAGCTTCCCAATTGAACATGTTATCATTAATGAGATTACAAAAAGCAGGTTTACCTTCTTAGGAAGAAACTAAAAGCCTATTACTTACTATAAAGTGTTTTAACTTTCATACATACTGCTAATTATAATCAGTATGATTAATTTTAAAGTCAAGGAAATACTACAACCTAAACCACTGGGAGTAGATAGTTTGATATAAATTCTGTAATTCAAACTAGAACTCCTCAATTAGTATAGTACACTTCAAATCAATGCTTTTTTGTTTTGTTTTTTAATGCTTACATTACTTATGTCAAACCCTGATCTAAAATCTGAAAGTATAATTTCAAGTCACTGTTTTATCTGTTTACTTTGTCTATTTATTCTCCTCCTACCTCTAAACCATTACAAGTGCACTGAGAATGGCAAAAAGTATGAAAGGACATTCAACTACTACTATTCTAATCTATTTACTTCAGAAAATGGGCTAAATATCACAGCCTTATTCTACATTCTGGAAAACTGAACCATGATGAATATATCCAAAATCCTTCCTCTTCCCTCACTGCAACAGGTGATTCATGAATATTTGCTGCCATAAAACACAGAATGTTGAGCCCACGAACCATAGGACACATTTATCCAAAACATCACTCTGAGTTAAATGAGTTAACCTGGGAGGCCCATCATATCTGAGGAGCATTAGGCCAACAAGAAATCTCAAGTCGCCTTATTCTGGACCCAAAGACCCCAGATGTCCCCCCAGTGTTTTCTGTAACAGGTGCTTCTCACACTCTAAACCATGCCTGAGCCCCCTGGGAATCCTGCAGAGTACCCGCTCTGCTTCGGTAGGTCTGGGATAGGGCTGAGAGTGCGCTAAAATTTCAACAACAAGCTCCCAGCTGATGCCGAGGGTCCTGGTCCCCTGACGATATTTTAAGAAGCATTGCTGTAGAGACCAGCTGACCTCGGCTGTCCATCAGGCAGCCCTCTCCAAGGCCAGACCTGCTTGCCTGAACCAACCCCACCCCTGAAGAGCTACTTCCCCATCTGTTGTCTTCGTGACGCTCTTTACATGTATAGACAACCATACTCGTGGATCTGAGGACTCAGGGCCCACCCGGGCACTGACATTATAACCTCTGTAGGTTAAGGGCCAAATTAGACCCAAAGGGGGGCACTTAACAGGGACAGGACCCACACCCTCACGTGGTGTCATGTTTGAACACAAAGAACCGAACATTTATTATTCATGTTTATTGGCTTTACCTTGATGTAGGACTCGTTATTGGTTGCTACGTACACCCGAAAAGATAAGGAGGGATTCTGGTCGATGACTTTGTACAGAATCACAGCCCCGTGGTGGTATAATGTTTCTTCGCTTTGAATGACAGGTCCCACAGGAGAAAGAGAGCTCACGTGCCATCTGACGTGGGTTGCAGAATGATCCACAATACATTCTAACGAGGCCTCGGAATTTTTAACATGTAAGACTCTGAATGTCATATTGGCATCATGGTCTGTGAAAACATGAAGGTATATGAGTGGTCCAGGTGTTACAGCGGTTGCACACATACACACACACACACACCATCATTAACATTTCATCAAACAAGTACTTACGCCCCAAGCAGAGGGAATGTGGAAACTGAATGGAGGTAAGACAGGCGGGGTCACATTTGACATCAAACATGGGTCCCCCAACAGCCCAGGGCTTGACGACCAGGTCTGCGTATTTGCTCCAGGACAAAACGCAATACTTGATGTCAACTTTTCTGTTAACCTCAAAGATCAGACCAGTTTCCATGCACTCGTACACTCCCTCCGTGTCCACCTTCAGCCTGCGATGGACAGATAAGAACACCTGCTGAGTCTTCATGTTTGGTTAGGAGAGGACTTCTTACAGTTATTTACGTTTTTAATTTCGCTCAAAAGCATTAAGGAACCTGTGCATTGTGAAGAAGCATCATTATCAGAGACAACAATCCAGGTAATTACATAAAATGTGTGACATTAGTTATGCTATTTTGTGTCGCCCCTAATTGGCGTTATGTTTATGCAGAAAATTAAATTCCTGATCATACTAAGTCTCCTGTATTCACAACTACTTACAAAAACTG